CAATTGCTTGTATCACTACAGATATCCCTTAACCTATTTCAATTTGTGCAGATTTATTCATGTATCAGTTAACATATCCATTCTTCATTTACCCAGTTTCTCTGTGAGGCACTACTCTCTTTTTCAGTATTTTTTTTTTTTTTTAATAAACTAAATTTGTAATATACAGCAAAACTACAAAGGAAACTTTTAGTAACTTCAGTACAAAAAATGATCATTCCCTTTTTTTAAAAGAAAAGTAATCAAAATTTAAATGTTATCAAGTGCCCAGTTGGAAAATTTTGTTTATCGTGGATGTGTCATAGTGTGCAACAACAGCTTATGGGCTGTGACCTCCGAATAAAGGACATTTATAGTCTGAGCAACGGCAATAGTTTTTCACTTTTAATACTGATGTTCTGAAGTGACAATAATGAAGTAATTGTTATTCAATTCATGTCTGTCTTTAAAAATGGGTGGATTTTGCTTTGATTTGCTTTGTTTGTTATGATGGAATTCAAATCTCTGCGAGAAAGAAAATTGGGTGCAAGCAAAATTAATCATAACTGCAACTCAAGATCAGTGTCCCACCTAGATAAAAACATTAAATCAAGCGAACACTGCTCCTATCTGAACTTCCTATACCTTGCACTGACATAAAAATGGGCAATATTATGCTTAATGATAACAACCTATACTTCAAAACAAGAAAACAAGACAAAAGACAAACAAATGAAAAATAAATAAAGAATAAATAAACTAATCAATAAGTAAATAGAATAATCATAATGATATGCTCTCACCAGACCAAATAGATAATATGTTGCTACGAAATAGAACCATACAGATACTAAATACCTTCCCCTAAGGCAATAAAAAATATAGATAAAGAACTGGAATTTAAGTGAAGAAAAAGCATATTGTGGATTTTCACTCATTTTTTTTCAGCCCGCATTCACTGCAATGAAAATCATACCCTAACAACAATTTAATGTATTATTGGAAATGCAACCCCACACCTAATTCAAAGAATCTGAGCTTACCATGTGGGAGAACATATCATTCTATGATAGTTTTCTTTTATACCATTTTCTGAGCAAATTGATAATAACAGAGTTGTTATCAATTTCCGATTTCCAGGAGCCGCAGTAACCTTCTGCCTCCAGCGCCGCGATAAAATAACAAAAGTTGTTAAGAGCAACGGGAAAGCGGACGGACTTGTAGCGGATGACATATGCAAAGGAAATCAAATGTGCCAATTAGATTCGTGCGTGAACCTGACGTGAACATAGACACTCCATAGAACCAATCGGATATAGAATAGATCATCACATGACAAAAGAATCTGGACCTAGGAGAAGGCAACTGAAGTTCAAATAAATTCCATCATGGCTTGACAGTGTGTAGGCTGTAAAAAAAATTATTTTGATTTCACTGTGAAATATCAACAAAATGAAGAAAGCAAGCTTACTAAATCTACACCACAGTGTACTGCCAGTGGAAGTACAATGCCTGCACTGTAAGACATTGTGTCATCACAAAAATGACAAGACACCAGAGGTTTTGTGGTGCATGAAAAAGGATTAAAAAAACGAAACAAAGAAAGCAGTGTAACTTTACTGTAAGCGATTGCAATTCCCACCAACAACAACCTGGAATACCCTGACGATCCCAGTGACCCGCAGCCTGGCCCATAAGATGAGGTTAAAACTTCCTGGGTCTGGGCTCTCTCCTGTCGGAACATACGAGGTGAAGATTTTGCAGACCAGCGGGGGGTGGGGGGTGGCAGCCCTCCCTGAAAGGGAGTATACAGGGTCTAAGCCTCCTATGTTTACTGAAAACGTGTCAAATACCTAGTTTGCCCAGGCTCTATCCTGCCGGAACATACGAGGTGAAGATTTTGTAGACCAGGCACGGGGTTGAGGGGTGGTAGCCCTCCCCCCTGAAAGGGGTTTAAGGGGGCAGAGCAGTCTATACAACCCAGAAATGTGTTAATATTATATGCTTACTAATCTTCAACTAATATTTCTCGAAATTCCTAGATATGTAGGCCAATCACACCCTCCCCAGCTATCGAGACCGAAATGAGTGCTAGCTTCATTTGAAACACGATGAAAGCTATTGGAAAATTATTCTATTCACCCAAAAAATGGTGTTGGGGTGCATTTCCAAATATACCCAATTTAACATCTTCATAAAACCAATTGATCGTACACTAAAAAAATTACTGATAAAATAACAACATTCAATCATAGACTAAGAGACAAGCATAGACAAAGACGTTGTCACAGACATAGAAACAGTAGGCGTAGCCATGGACATGGAGATAGACAAAGACAGACACTAAGACACAAAGACATAGACACTGAAATATATACAGTAGACGTAGTCACTGACATAGACACTGACATAAAGACAGACACATACAAATACCGTAATTTGTAAGCAATCTTACTTAAAACACCAAGACACCTATTTTTAGTTTCCCGTTTTAGATCCCCCCCCCCCACCTCCGTGATTGAGGTTTCTTTGATGTGCAAATACAACATAAAAGAGCCCTAAAACAGCTGTACATTATCGTACACATACTTAACATGTCGGGGAGAGCCAAATTTTTTTTAAAATTTATTTCTTCCTCTCACGGTACCTGGCCTGTCTCCTGTGTATTCCGAGGTTCTTCTTCTTCTTTCTTCTTTTATAGGGTTTTAGACTTTTGCATAGTCTATATCCCCTGGATCCTTTTTCTTTTCTATTCTTTCTTTTATATGATCTCTCTTAGTTTGTTTTTTTCTTAGAAAGAGAGGTTCTTTATTTACATAGGACTTCCTCCGTTATTTGGAAATCTTTTTGTTTAGACTCTGTTGGGTGAAAATAGAACAGCGACTGGAAGGAAAATATTGCAGAGGCATTTTGTTTTCATTACACAATTGTCTATTTGTATAAAATTATCTGAAAACTAAATTAAATAAATGTGTAACAGAATGTTGTGCGAATAGAGTGTTTCGAATACTCCTTGCAGCACTGGTTTGAACTTTTTAATGAAACAAATGGGCCCTCTTTTTTATATTTTTCTATTTTCATATATTTCAAATAAAAATTACTCATCTGATTATCATTCTATTTCCTTTATATTTGGAGATTCAGTAAATATTCATAATGACCGCAAAATAGCGCATAAGTAAGAAATGTGTATGAAAGTGGTCAGACTCCTGCGCGAATAGGTTGTTCGAATCTTCCTTACAACACAGTGACAAACTTGGCTCCTCTTTTTCTGATGTTTTTACTATCCTTTTATGTTTCAGACAGACATACTCTCCTTTTATTTATCTTCCTACTCTATTAAGATCTGTTGATTCAGAAAATGTATTAACCGCAAAACAGCACATAAGTAAGAAAGTCTCGGACTTTTGTGCGAATAGGCTATTTCGAATCATCGTGACATTAGTTCGAATCCCTGGCGACAAAAGCTCTTATTCTATTAACATCTTTATATATCTAAAATAAACATTACCTCATCTTTTAATATCTATTTTTTTATTTCACGATTCAGAAAAGAGATCAAAATATTTTTTATTTTTACATTTCACAAAAAGAGATATATTTTTTATTTTTATGCCTTTTTCCGACGTTAAGCTTAAATGATATGCTTTCATATTAATAGGGACACGACTAAGAAGAGCGAGGTTCAGATTTATCTTTCGTATGTGTGCGCTTTTATGCGATAAGTCATGTAAGGCAACAATAGTTACTGTTTTTCTTATATCATTTATGCTTCAATCTTGGGCATATTCAGGCCTCCAAACATGTTCCATGACGAATAATATACGGGGAAATATAAGGCATCTTTTCCGGTGCAATTAGGGTGTCGCCCTCACTTTTCTGTCACGGATGACTTTGTTAAATAGCTCGTTATTCGGTCATCAAAGTTGTTTCTTCAGCATGCCGTAAATTATTTACGCTATATCCACGCATTAGAAAGCCACAGAAGAGGTTGAAGAGGTTTTTTGTCGCACTTTTTTTTACTTATACTCAGTCACACCATTTATTTCTATGCATGCTCTCTTGATAGGTCCTTTCCATTCTTATATAAGGTTGGTAAAAGTGCGTCGCTATATGATATCAAAAGCCTTTGTGTAATCTATGAAAGGGGAAAGCTAGATCAATAGCAACTTGAGGAGGTCTTTAATTTTCAAAAAGAATGGAAAATGATGGCCTTAATGGTTATATTTTCATTGAGCAATCACCAAAATAGCCCTGTGGGACGCCATAACACTTCCAGTTACTACTGATCTAGCCTTCCCCATCAATCAAACAAATATGAGGCGTTGAGAATGGGAGAGGCGAACGCGCCAAAATCAAGTTTTGAGACAAGTGGGTTTAAAGTTTCCCTTTCGCCCTGACCACGAGTTTTACACCCTATTTCTAACCTTAATTCTCTGCCACTGATAGGCGAACCAACCACACCATTTCTTGCCAGAAGATAGAACAAATGTCAAAGAAAACCGGGGGGGGGGGGAATCGTATTTTCGATAAGGTGGCGAGTGTGGCTCCTCCGTTCTCAGTGCCTCACATATATATATATATATATATATATCCCTTTTCAACCTTTCAGATATTCTCATGGTGAATATTGCATTCCTTTTCGATGAATCTTCAACAAAACGACATTATTATATATTTACGATGTCAACCTGCTTCGTGCTCTCATAATTATTCTCAAGGTATTTTTTTTTTTTTCAAGGGATCGCAATGGCATGTTACCGGTAATCGAAAATTTCCATGAATGATTTTCGTTGATTTAGCAATTCCAAAATCTTCGAAAGCTATGTGAGTATTTCCTTTACTGTTTTTTTTTTTCTCCAGACTTGCTACTTGAACAATTTTCCTTCTGTTTAGACACACCTTTCTGTTTCTGATTTTCAATTTTTTCTCCATCTGTGTTGTTGGGTATCGACTGTCTTTTTCGCTTTCTAAACCTAGCTATTATGAACCAATTGTTTTAAAACGTTCTCCTTTTCAAC